GTACAGTGACTATATTCACATGTATGGCGTCTATAGTCACATGTACAGTGATTGTAGTCACATGTATGGCGTCTATAGTCACATGTATGGCCTCTATAGTCACATGTACAGCGATTGTATTCACGTGTATGGTGTCTATAGTCACACGCAGAGCGACTGTATTCACGTGTATGGTGTCTATAGTCACACGCAGAGCGGCTGTATTCACGTGTTATGGTGTCTGTATTCACGTGTATGGCGTCTATAGTCACGTGTATGGCGTCTATAGTCACATGTATGGCGTCTATAGTCACATGTACAGTGACTTCACCCATGTATGGTGTCTATAGTCACATGTACAGTGACTGTATTCACATGTATGGTGTCTATAGTCACATGTACAGCGATTGTATTCACATGTATGGCGTCTATAGTCACATGTACAGCGATTGTATTCACATGTATGGTGTCTATAGTCACACGCAGAGCGACTGTATTCACGTGTATGGTGTCTATAGTCACATGTACAGTGACTATATTCACATGTATGGTGTCTATAGTCACATGTACAGTGATTGTAGTCACATGTATGGCGTCTATAGTCACATGTATGGCCTCTATAGTCACATGTACAGCGATTGTATGCACATGTATGGTGTCTATAGTCACACGCAGAGCGACTGTATTCACGTGTATGGTGTCTATAGTCACACGCAGAGCGGCTGTATTCACGTGTATGGTGGTGTCTGTATTCACGTGTATGGCGTCTATTTATGTGCGCAAATAGTCAGAATAAAGTAATTTACTGGCTAACAGAGTGCATTAATGCCAAACGTGTATACACACACGCCAAAAAGTGGCTTTTGCCATGTTTTTTTCTGCTGCTTTTCGCCTGCAAGTAGAAAAGGCATCATAACCACTTCCAGTCTGGACACTTTCACCTCCTTCCTGCCCAGGCCAATTTTCAGCTTTCAGTGCTATCACATTTTGAACGACAATTGCGCGGTCATGCAACACTGTACCCATATGAATATTTTAGCATATTTTTCCAGACAGATAAAACTTTATTTTGGTGGTATTTTTTCACCACTGGGATTTTTTTTGCTATATAAATGAAAAAGTCCAAACATTTTGAAAAAAGTGTTTTCCTTATAAAATTTAGCAAATCTCTCTTCATAAATCGTGACCAACATTTATTCAGTTATCTTTTTAGTTAAAAAAAAAAAATGACCCAAATTAGTTTATAACCAAAAATTATAATTTTTCAAAAAATGTTTACTTTTTCATTTTATTTTTGTTTATTATTATTTTTTTTTTTTTACATACTGTCACCCTAGCAGTACAGTGTCACAATGGTGACACTGTACTACTTGTGGGGGTGATGAAGATTTTTTATTTTTTTTTTACACTTATTGCTTTTACACCCATATAGGCTGTAAAAGCAATAATTTCTCCTCTCTGGCTGCATTCTTGCAGCCATTGAGAAATACTGTGAGTTGTGATTGGTCACAGCTTGTCACATGGTACAAGGATGTTGTGAATAGCCCTGTACCATGTGACCTCTGTGATCATTCACAGATTTCACATGTAGTAAGCAATGATGTCAGAAGTGACATCTTGCTTACTACTATTCATGTGATCACTGATTGGCCAATATTTTAATATTGAAGGCTTAATTTGATTTAAGGATATTTTAATGAAGGCTTAATATTTAACTTCTTGCTGCCCATATAAAACATAGGAGGGTGGGCTTTAATGCCCACACACTGCACATGTGTATGCATGGATGGCTGAGCTTTCTGTGCTGAAGGAGTACTTCTAACACCGTGACCATGCTGTCATAGACAGCTCCTGGTCTCTATTGAGCACATTACAAGCCAATCACATAATCTAGTTATACGGTGGCAGAGCATCTCTCCTGTGACGGATCACTTACCTAGTACATGATCTGGCACCTCCGGGTAGGGGGGCGGAGCATTCACGTACACTGCCGCCGACCCGGCTGTGGTGTGATCAGTGGGTGCTAGCTCCTGTAAGACCTCTCCTCATTGAGCTCTGCAGAGTGTAATTTCAGCTCTCTGCCCCCTTTTTTTGGAACCCTCAGACAAGCATTATACACTCACTGGCCACTTTATTAGGTACACCTTGCCAGTGCCAAGAAAATATCCCTCACACCATTACACCACCACCAGCTTGAACTGTTCATACAAGGCAGGATGAATACATGCTTTCATGTATTTATGTCTGCCCATTCTCCTCTGACATCAACAAGGCATTTTTCGTCCATACAGCTGCTGCTTACTGCATATTTTCTTTTTTCAGACCATTCTCTGTAAACCCTAGAGATGGTTGTGCGTAAAAATCCCAGTAGATCAGCATTTTTTTTAAAACTACTTAGAACAGCCCCATCTGGCAGCCAACATTCATGCCACATTCAAAGTCACTGAAATCCCCTTTCTTCCCCATTCTGATGATCGGTTTGAACTTCAGCAAGTCATCTTCACCACGTCTAGATGCCTAAATGCATTCAGTTGCTGCCATGTGATTGGCTGATTAGCAATTTGTGTTACCAAGCAATTGAACAGATGTGCCTAATAAAGTGACTGGTGAGTGTAAATTCTGGACTTTGGATGTAGCGAACAGAAGACTGCAGGTAAACAGGTACATCTTATGTAGGTGATTTGTTTAATCTCTGTGTATCACCTGAAGCCAGTCACATCACATATGTAAGGGTTTACAACCACTTTAATGTATTTTAAAACCTGCTAAAGCAGTATTTTTGTTGTGTTTCCTAGGATGAAACAGGAGCCTATCTAATCGATCGGAGACCCTACCTACTTTGGCCAATCCTGAATTATCTACGACATGGGAAGCTAATACTTGGCAAAGAGCTAGCAGAAGAAGGTAAGGAATAAAGGTTCAGGGAAATTCGTAAAAGGTGTCACACTGACAGGCACATGGCCAGGGAGTTTTATACTAAGGGTTGATGGAGCCTGGCAGGGAACTGGGAGGACTCGTTCGCCATCAGGTCTACATTACTTTGATTGGCAGTGGGCAGATCAATGGCTGCTATTCAATTCAATAGCAGGCTTTTCAGTCCGCCCACTGCCATGTCCCTGGTAATCAGATGTAAATCTGACATGATCGGAACTAATCTCACAGTTCCCCATCATGCTCCTCTCACTTCACCCCCACCCAATAATTTCCCAAATATGGGCGTTGCTATGACTGACCAGTATCCCTGACCTCTGGGTGAATGGGCCAGGGTTACAGGTGGTACTGTGTGGGAAGCTGTCACACATCCTGTACACATGACAGCTTTGCAGCACAGACATGCCCCATTCCTGGGCACTGATATACAGTACTGTAAAGTCTGCCAGATTAAGTTGGTCCTAGTTACCACCAAGTTTTGTAATGTGCGAACTGCGGTAATTCTTCATAGCGTCGGCAGATTCTGAAAGTGGGCAGTAGTAAGAACTGCCTGAAATTGCTGCACATGCCAGTAATGGTACCTCCGCTGCAAAAATGCTTGGCTGAATTAGACACAGGAAGTTCTTAAGGAAAACCACCTCCAGAAAACTGGTTAAGATTTTATTAAACTCCCCGAAGGGTATTTTTTGGAAAGCCCTAGAGCATGGTTCTCTACCTTCCGTAATGCCGTGACCCTTTAATACAGTTTCCTCATGTTGTGGGTGACCACCAACCATAAAATTATTTACCCCAGTAATGGTTATAATTCATAAGGTCGTTAATAACCTCCAATTACTTGCTGCTGCTTTCAACACAGTAGCTGCTTTTAACAGATAGCTGCTTTCAACACAGCAGCTGCTTTCTACACAGTAGCTGCTCTTTACACATCGGAAATGTGTTTTCTGACGGTGCTTAGGGGACCCCTGTGGGAAAGGGTCGTTCGATCAACCCCCCAAAGGGTTGCTACCCACAGGTTGAGAACCACTGCTCTAGAATGTCTGTTTCTGTGTGACATTGGGGGTAGATTTACCAAAATGTGCACCCAGAATCTGGTGCAGCTGTGTATGGAACCAATCAGCTTTTAACTTTAGCTAGTTCAGTTAAGCTTTGGCATTAAAACCTGGAAGCACCTGGAGTTGCACCAGATTTTACAACTCTCCAGTTTTAGTGAATGTGACCACCATAGTTTTACTACTCTGCTTTTTGTAAAGGAAATAAATCCTTTTAATAGTACAATGCTCAAAAAATTTAACACTTTTTAATCAGTGTATAGCATGCAATTCAGTTAACGACCACGTCAAGTCCGGACTTTTTAACCCCCTTCCTGTTTAGAGGCCAATTTTCACTTTTCAGTGCTATCACACTTTGAATGACAACTGCGCAGTCCCGCAACACTGTAACCCATATCAATTTTTTAGCATGTGTTTTGAGACAGATAAAACTTTATTTTGTGTGTATTTATATATCACTGGGATTTTTTTTTTTGCTATATAAATGAAAATGTGCCAGAAATTGTGAAGAGTTTTGCTTTGAAAATTTTGCTAATTTTTCTTTCATAAAATCTTGGCCAAAATGTATTCAGTTATCTTTTTAGTAAAAAAACCACAAATTATAATTTTTCAGACATTGTATTTTACATTTTTATTTTATTTTTTTTTTAAATTTTTTTTTGTCTTTTTTTAACGTACTGTCACCCTAGCAGTGAAACAGTGTCACCATAGTGACACTGTACTACTTGTGGGGGATGAACATTTTTTTTTTTTTTTTTTACACATATTGCTTTTACACCCTTAAAGGCTGTAAAAGCAATAATTTCTCCTCTCTGGCTGCATTCTTGCAGCCATTATTATTATTATTATTATTATTATACAGTATTTATAAAGCACCAATAGTTCGCCCAGCGCTGTACATTACAAAAGGGGGACAGAACATGTGACAGAACAATACCAATACAATGCAAAACATGAGAGGGATTGAGGGCCCTGCTCTTTCGAGCTTGCAATCTAGGAATTGAGAAATACTGTGAGTTGTGATTGGTCACAGCTTGTTACATGGTACAAGGCTGTTGTGAATAGCCTTGTACCATGTGACCTCTGTGATTATTCACAGATTTCACACGTAGTAAGCAATGATGTCAGAAGTGACATCTTGCTTACTACTATTCATGTGATCACTGATTGGCCAATCAGTGATCACATGATCGGGACCTCACACAGAGGTCCCGTACAATGATCGGTGTTCCTACGGACACCGGATCGCGGTGCTGCGCACTCCAAGGGAGCATGCATAAGCAGGGAGGACATTTATAAATGGCAACCTGCTCCTGCACGGCCGTTTATATACATGGGCCGAACAGGAAGTGGTTAAACTCCTGTCATCTTGATCTGGTCAGTTAAGTAGCAGAGGGGGTTGTTAACTTCTTGCCGACCAGTCACTGTAGAAATACGGTGGCAGGTCGGTCGGCACGGCTGGGCAATACCATATTTTAAAAACGTGCGTTTGCAAAACAGGTAGGGGGCGTGCGCGAGGCGTGTGCCCGCCCTACCCGTCCCGCCGATCGTGGCCGCAGATGGCAGTCGCCGGGTCACGGCCGGTCATTATCGGTCATGTCCCGGCGATTAGCGGCAGTCACTGACAGAGAGGACGGCTGCAGTCTTTACACTGCACCTCTGCTTTCTGTCAGTCCCCTGTCAGCTCCTGCCATGCTGATCCGGAGAGAAGAGTTTATCTCTCCGGATCAGCGGTATTCTCATGCAGTACACACACCCCCGCCCCCTAGTAAAACACTCGACTCACACAGTTAACCCTTTCAGTAAATAAAAAAGTTAACCCCTTCCTCCCCAGTGCCATTAGTACAGTGTCAGTGTTTTTTTTTTTTTTTTTTTTTTTTTGCACTGATCACTGTATTGGTGTCACTGGGGATGTCAGTGACCCCAAGTCAGTTCCCCCCGTGTCAGAATGTCCGCCGCAGTCCTGCCATAAGTCACTGATCGCCGCCATCTTTCCCAGTATCTTTCCCGCCATTTGTAAACGCTATAACTTTCACGTAAACCAATTAATTTACACGTATTGGGTTTTTTTTTTAGCAATGTCGCAGAATACATTTCGGCAGAAATTTATAACTAAATTTGATTTTTACATTTTTTTTCTGTACATGTTTTATAGCAAAAAGTCCACCGAAAGAAAGCTCTATTTGTGTGAAAAAAAGGACGTAAATTTCATTTGGGTGCAGCATTGCATGACCGCAGCAATTATCAGTTGAATTAGTGCAGCGCTAAGTAGCAAAAAGAGGCCTGGTCATTAAGGGGGGTAAATCCTCAGGAGGGCAAGTGGTTAAACCGTTTCAGCTGCTTTTGTGTTAATGAAATTAACAGGTGTACTAGATGGGCAACAATGAGACGACCCCTAAAACAGGAATGGTTTTACAGGTGGAGGCCACTGACATTTTTTTCCCTACTCATATTTTCTGTTTTTTCTCTAGTTTTGCATTTAGCTAGGGTCACTGTCACTAATGGTAGCATGAGGCGATACCTGGAACCTACAGAGGTTGCAAAGGCAGTCCAGCTCCTCCAGGATGGCACATCAATACGTGCCATTCCAGAAAGTTTGCTGTGTCTACCAGCACAGTCTAAAGAGCATGGAGGAGATTCCAGGAGACAGGCAGTTACTCTAGGAATGCTGGACAGGGCCGTAGAAGGTCCTTAAGCCATCAGTAGGACCGGTATCTGCTCCTTTGTGCAAGGAGGAACAGGATGAGCACTGTGAGGGCGGCCTGAGGGCCCGACATCCTCTAGTGGGCCCTGTGCTCACTGCCCGGCACCATAGAACTCGAGTGGCATTTTCTATTGAACACCAAAATTGGCAGGTCTGCCACTGCGCCCTGTGCTTTTCACAGATGAGAGCAGGTTCACCCTGAGCACATGTGACAGACGTGAAAGGGTATGGAGAAGCCGTGGAGAACATTATGCTGCCTGTAACATCGTTCAGCTTGACTGTTTTGGTGGGTGGGTCCGTGATGGTATGGAGGGACGCATAAACCTCTACAGGCTAGACCAGGGTCCTCAAACTACGGCCCACGGGCCACATGCAGCCCGCTGAGGCCATTTATCCAGCCCGCCGGCAGGGGCGTATTTGCCGCCAGGAAGGGACACTAAGTACAGGGTGGTCAGGGGCTGCTGTATCTTACCTGGCTCTGGTCCCAGTCCCAACGACGATCCAGTCCAGGAAGCGCTGCTCCTTCATTCACTCTGGCCACTCCCTCACTCGATGTTCACAGCTGCCGCTTGGCTCTGCCTCCTCACCGGTGATTGGGCGCCAGAACTGTAGCTCAGGAAAGGCACACAGGCAGCCAATCAGCTGCGAGGAGGCAGAGCCGAGCGGCCCAAAAAGGGCCACCGCGAACATCGAGTGAGGGAGAGCCGGAGTGAAGGAGGACAGCTGACATGTAAGTGTTCCGTGCAGATGGTGTTGCTGCAACCAGGTATGCTGGCTGCAGCAGCACCATGCTGGAGCAAGGGTCAGCAAGTTAAGTGTCATTGGTTCAGTGGGAGGAATAGTGCCCCATCATTGGTGTCACTGACACCAACGATGGGGCACTATTCCCCCCCCCCCACTGACACCAACGATGGGGGCACTATTCCCCCCCCCCGCACTGACACCAACGATGGGGCACCCCCCCCCCCCGCACTGACACCAACGATGGGGCACTATTCCCCCCCCCCCCCCCACTGACACCAACGATGGGGCACTATTCCCCCCCCCCCCACTGACACCAACACCAACGATGGGGCAACTATTCCCCCCCCCCCCCCCACTGACACCAACGATGGGGCACTATTCGCCCCCCCCCCCCCCCCACCACTGACACCAACGATGGGGCACTATTTCCCCCCCCCCCCCCCACTGACACCAACGATGGGGCACTATTATTCCCCCCCCCCCCACTGACACCAACGATGGGGCACTATTCCCCCCCCCCCCCACTGACACCAACGATGGGGCACTATTCCCTTCCCCCCCCCCCCCACTGACACCAACGATGGGGCACTATTCCCCCCCCCCCCCCCCACTGACACCAACGATGGGGCACTATTTCCCCCCCCCCCCCCCCCACTGACACCAACGATGGGGCACTATTCCCCCCCCCCGCTGACCCCGATGGGGCACTGTTCGAAAACCCCCCCACCAACTGACACGCCGACGATGGGGCACTGTTTCCCCCCCCCCCCCTGACACCAACGATGGGGCACTATTCCCCCCCCCCCCCCCCCACTGACACCAACGATGGGGCACTATTCCCCCCCCCCCCCCCACTGACACCAACGATGGGGCACTATTCCCCCCCCCCCCTGACACCTGACACCAACGATGGGGCACTATTCCCCCCCCCCCCCCCCCGACACCAACGATGGGGCACTATTCGTCCCCCCCCCCGACACCAACGATGGGGCACCCCCCCCCCCCCTGACACCAACGATGGGGCACTGTTCCCCCCCCCCCCCCCCTGACGCCGACGATGGGGCACCCCCCCTGACACCAACGATGGGGCACTATTCCCCCCCCCCCCCCCCCCCCGATGGGGCACTGTACTTCCCCCCCCCCCCCCACCGACGATGGGGCACTATTCCCCCCCCCCCCCCCCCCCCGACACCAACGATGGGGCACTGTTCGTCCCCCCCCCGACGATGGGGCACAACCAACGATGGGGCACTGTTCGTCCCCCCCCCCCCGCACGACGATGGGGCACTGTTCGTCCCCCCCCCCCCCCAGACGATGGGGCCCCCCCCCCCCGCTGACGCCGACGATGGGGCACTGTTGCTTCCCCCCCCCCCCCCCCCCCCGCTGACGCCGACGATGGGGCACTGTTCCCCCCCCCCCCCGCTGACGCCGACGATGGGGCACTGTTCGTCCCCCCCCCCCCCGACACGCCGACGATGGGGCACTGTTCGTCCCCCCCCCCCCCCCCCCCGCTGACGCCGACGATGGGGCACTGTTTCCCCCCCCCCCCCCCACGCTGACGCCGACGATGGGCACTGTTCCCCCCCCCCCCTGACGCCCCCCCCCCCCGCTGACGCCGACGATGGGGCACTGTTCCCCCCCCCCCGTCCCCCCCCCGCTGACGCCGACGATGGGGCACTGTTCCCCCCCCCCCCCCCCGCTGACGCCGACGATGGGGCACTGTTCGTCCCCCCCCCCCGCTGCTGACGCCGACGATGGGGCACTGTTCGTCCCCCCCCCGCTGACGCCGACGATGGGGCACTGTTCCCGTCCCCCCCCCGCTGCTGACGCCGACGATGGGGCACTGTTTCCCCCCCCCCCCCGCTGACGCCGACGATGGGGCACTGTTCCCCCCCCCCCCGCTGACGCCGACGATGGGGCACTGTCGTGCCCCCCCCCCCCCCCGACGATGAGGGGCCCCCCCCCCCCCGCTGACGCCGACGATGGGGCACTGTTCGTCCCCCCCCCCGCTGACGCCGACGACGCTGTGGTGGCACTGTGTCGTCCCCCCCCCGCTGGGAGATGGGGCACTGTTCGTCCCCACCCCCCCGCTGACGCCGACGATGGGGCACTGTTTGTTCCCCCCCCCCCGCTGACGCCGACGATGGGGCACTGTTTGTTCCCCCCCCCCCCCGCTGACGCGCCGACGATGGGGCACTGTTCGTCCCCCCCCCCGCTGACGCCGACGATGGGGCACTGTTCGTCCCCCCCCCCCCCCCCCGCTGCACCGCCGACGATGGGGCACTGTTTGTTCCCCCCCCCCCGCCGCTGAACGCCGACGATGGGGCACTGTTTGTTCCCCCCCCCCCCGCTGACGCCGACGATGGGGCACTGTTATTCGTTCCCCCCCCCCCGCCCGACGATGGGGCACTGTTTCTGTTCACCCCCCCCCCGCCCCCGACAGATGGGGCACTGTTTTTGTTCCGTCCCCCAGCCCCGCTGACCCGACGATGTGGGGCACTGTTAGGTTCCCCCCCCCCCCCCCGCTGGCCCGGACCACTGTTCCCCCCCCCCCTCCCCGCTGACCGACGATAGGGGGCACTGTTCGCCCCCCCCCCCCCGCCCCCCCCCCCTGACACCGCTAGACGCCGACCCGATGGGGGCACTATTCGTCGTCGCCCCCCCCCCCCCCGCTGACACACCAACGATGGGGCACTATTCGTTCCGTCCCCCCCCCGCGTGACACCAACGATGGGGCACTATTCGTCCCCCCCCCTGCTGACAGCCAAACGACGGTGGGGCAATGTCTGTGCGTGTCTTAATGATATT